GAGTCAAGTCAAGTCACAGTTGATCGTCATGAGTCGAGTCAAGTCACAGTTGATCGTCATGAATCAAGTCAAGTCACAGTTGATCGTCATGAATCAAGTCAAGTCACAGTTGATTACCCTGAGTCAAGTCAACTTCACAGCAGATCTTCATGAGGCAAGTCAAGTCACAACTGATCGTCATAAGTCAAGTCAAATCACAGTTGATCGTCATGAGTCAAGTCAAGTCACAGTTGATCGCCATGAGTCAAGTCAAGTCACAGTTGATCGTCATGAGTCAAGTCAACTCACAGTTGATCTGCCTGGACCTTTGCATTGTACTTGGATTTACCCCTCTAGTCTCACCCTGTTAATTCTGTTCGCCGATCGTAGACCCACGCTAGCCCTAGGATTATTCTTGTGCCTTGCCCTCTATATACCCGTTGCCTTTATCTGACCCTTGCCTGTCTCTACCATGTCGATGAATAAAGCCTTGCATTTGGATCCGCACGTCTCATGTCTCGTCAGCCCCGTAACAACTGTAGTCTCAGGAGACACACACAAGCACATACCGATGTTGTCCTCTGGCAGCATGAGAGCCTTCAGGCAGTTGAGCCAGAATGTGACCTGGTTCAGTTGAGTCTCGTAAGGCTCCTCCAGGCTGAATAAGACCAGATGAATGGCTGTGGTGTCATTCGCAGCAAAGTAATCATATGAGCAGTAGTAGACGGGATTACCAGAGAACTCCCATATAATGAAGTCTCCAACACCTGAAAATGATTACATAATACAATGCATTAAATAAAATAAAAAATACAAAAAATATTATTCAAAAGCTTGGTGTAAGAAAAGACTTTTAAGAAGAAATGCTTTTATTGCTCAGCAAGGACACAAACAGATGAAAAGTGACAGTAAAACATTTATAATGTTAAAAAAAGATTTATTTTTCAAATAAATTCTGTCCTTTTGATTTTTCTACACATCAAAAAAGTGTCACAGTTTCCACAGAAATATTAAGCAGCACAACTGTTTTCAACATTGATAATAATAAGAAATGTTTCTTGAGCATAAAAAAGAATATTAAAATGATTTCTGAAGAATCATGTGGCACTGAACACTGGAGTAATGGCTGGTGAAAATTCAGCTTTGCCATCACAAGAATAAATTACATTTGAAAATATATTAAAATAGAAAACAAATGGTATTAATATATCACAATATTACTCATTTTACTGTATTTTTTAATCAAATAAATGCAACCTTGGTGAGCTTTGGTGAGACTTATTTAAAAAATCTTTCTGCCCCCAACTTTTAAAAGGCATATACAGTTGATAATATACAATAAGATAATGTAGTAACTACCCCTAGATATTTTTTGAGAGGTGCTAAAAAATCTATTATAAATGACATAGTTTTACCATTGACATTGGCGTTATAGGCATTCATGGCTTTGGTGGCGGTGTCGTCAGCCGTGGAGAGAGCGTTATGAACAGGACTAAAGACCCTAAAGACCTCTTTAGTCAAACTGGGCTCAAACATCATACTGCGGCTGCGCACACTTACATTCTCACAGCCTGGGTACAGGTTAGAGATGCTGGCAGACACTACAGGCACACAACACACAAATAAGGAAGCAAAAAGAAAGACTGTAAATTAGATGGAATTTTATATGACTTTTTATAATTGATAACAATAAATACAATAAGGATATATTTGTAACTAAAGGATAAATAATATATATTATTTGAGGGTTTGAGCTATTCAAAATCATTTCATGAAATGTGGAAACCCACCACATGGGGGAGCTCTTTCCTAAAGGCCTGATTCCAGCTTTTCCAGTGTTGACAGAAAAATAAATATTTAGTAAAGGTTCCCTTTTTCTGATATATATTTTGAGATTACATGTATCCTTGTGGATAAAGATATGGACTGGTAATGGACAAAGATTGTACGTTAAAAAACTCCACAAGAGATGAGCCAGTATCACCCCATATATACATAATTAAAATAGCTCAGCTGGGAAAAACAAAATTCCTGAAAAAACCACAGAAGTGCTAACAGCCATTTTAGTTGGAGAAATAACATGAGAGTCAGATGACTCAAACTCTTTTTTATAACTTGCAAACGTGTTAGTCACACTGTGCTGCATATGTCTCGCACAATCAACGCTTTCCACTGAACTTTGGTTCTTTCTAAAAACTTTTCTCACAGAAAACCAGAGACGACTTCCTCAATTTGGCTGTGGCAGTATTTGTGAGAAAAACGTTAGCTTTGTGTGTAACGCATTACATTGATGTGATTGCGCCTTCCAAGGATAGCGCTATATGACGTGTGTGTTAATCCGGGAATGAGTGAGGAAAGTGAACAAAGTTGGACCAGAAAAAGCTCAATACTCCAAGTTTCTAAGCTTAAAGGAATAGATCACCCAAAATGAAAATGTCCTCACCCTCAGGCCATCCAAGATTTGTTTCTTCACCGCAACAGATTTGGAGAAATTTTGAATTACATCACTTGCTCACCAATGGATCCTCTGCAGTGAATGGGTGCCGTCAGAATGAGAGTCCAAACAGTTGATAAAAACATCACAATAATCCACACGACTCCCATCCATCAATTAACATCTTGAAGTCAAAAGCTGCATGATTGTCATAAACAAATCCATCAACACATTTTTAACTTAAAACAGTTTTTAACTTAAAAACCATTGCTTTCTCCAATGAACAAGTCATCTTGGTTGATTCAGGAGAGAAATATGCATAGCTCAAGCATTATTTACAAGTGAAAACAGTCCAAATATGTTGGTGGATTTTGATGTGAGAGGACAACAGGGGATGGACTTTTTCCACTGGAGAAAGCATTATTATATCGGTCAGAAATGACGGATAGCTACTCTACGGAGCCCGTTAGTTTTCATAGCCTTACCTTAGTCTTGCCTTGTCTGTTTTCTTGTATCCTGATCTTTGCCTGTGTACCTCGGATTCCTCCTCTCGTCTTGCCCTATTCAGATACTGTTTGCCCCTGCCTGGACCTTTGCATTGTACTTGGATTTACCCCTCTAGTCTCACCCTGTTAATTCTGTTCGCCGATCGTAGACCCACGCTAGCCCTAGGATTATTCTTGTGCCTTGCCCTCTATATACCCGTTGCCTTTATCTGACCCTTGCCTGTCTCTACCATGTCGATGAATAAAGCCTTGCATTTGGATCCGCACGTCTCATGTCTCGTCAGCCCCGTAACAACTGTAGTCTCAGGAGACACACACAAGCACATACCGATGTTGTCCTCTGGCAGCATGAGAGCCTTCAGGCAGTTGAGCCAGAATGTGACCTGGTTCAGTTGAGTCTCGTAAGGCTCCTCCAGGCTGAATAAGACCAGATGAATGGCTGTGGTGTCATTCGCAGCAAAGTAATCATATGAGCAGTAGTAGACGGGATTACCAGAGAACTCCCATATAATGAAGTCTCCAACACCTGAAAATGATTACATAATACAATGCATTAAATAAAATAAAAAATACAAAAAATATTATTCAAAAGCTTGGTGTAAGAAAAGACTTTTAAGAAGAAATGCTTTTATTGCTCAGCAAGGACACAAACAGATGAAAAGTGACAGTAAAACATTTATAATGTTAAAAAAAGATTTATTTTTCAAATAAATTCTGTCCTTTTGATTTTTCTACACATCAAAAAAGTGTCACAGTTTCCACAGAAATATTAAGCAGCACAACTGTTTTCAACATTGATAATAATAAGAAATGTTTCTTGAGCATAAAAAAGAATATTAAAATGATTTCTGAAGAATCATGTGGCACTCACTGAACACGTAATGGCTGGTGAAAATTCAGCTTTGCCATCACAAGAATAAATTACATTTGAAAATATATTAAAATAGAAAACAAATGGTATTAATATATCACAATATTACTCATTTTACTGTATTTTTTAATCAAATAAATGCAACCTTGGTGAGCTTTGGTGAGACTTATTTAAAAAATCTTTCTGCCCCCAACTTTTAAAAGGCATATACAGTTGATAATATACAATAAGATAATGTAGTAACTACCCCTAGATATTTTTTGAGAGGTGCTAAAAAATCTATTATAAATGACATAGTTTTACCATTGACATAGGCATTCTGGATGTCGATGGCTTTGGTGGCGGTGTCGTCAGCCGTGGAGAGAGCGTTATGAACAGGACTAAAGACCTCCAGCACTCCTTTAGTCAAACTGGGCTCAAACATCATACTGCGGCTGCGCACACTTACATTCTCACAGCCTGGGTACAGGTTAGAGATGCTGGCAGACACTACAGGCACACAACACACAAATAAGGAAGCAAAAAGAAAGACTGTAAATTAGATGGAATTTTATATGACTTTTTATAATTGATAACAATAAATACAATAAGGATATATTTGTAACTAAAGGATAAATAATATATATTATTTGAGGGTTTGAGCTATTCAAAATCATTTCATGAAATGTGGAAACCCACCACATGGGGGAGCTGTTTGCTAAAGGCCTGATTCCAGCTTTCCCAGTGTTGACAGAAAAATAAATATTATGTAAAGGTTCCCTTTTTCTGAAATAATAATACTAATGCTAATAATATTAATAATAAAACATACACAAGGTTTAAAAAAAAAAAAAATTTTAAACCCAGAACTGTTGCCGATGGTTAAAGAAATGGGCTGGCAATGGACAAAGATTGCATGTTGAAAAAAAACTCCACAAGAGATGAGCCACTATCACCACGTATAATTAAAATAGTTCAGCAGGAAAAAACTAAATTCCCCCAAAAAACACAGAAGTGCTAAGAGCCATTTTAGTTAGAAATAACACGAGAGAGTCAGATGACTCAAACTCTTTTTTATAACTTGCAAAAGTGTTAGTCACGCTGTGCTGCATATGTCTCGCACAATCAACGCTTTCCACTGAACTTTGGTTCTTTCTAAAAACTTTTCTCACAGAAAACCAGAGACGACTTCCTCAATTTGGCTGTGGCAGTATTTGTGAGAAAAACGTTAGCTTTGTGTGTAACGCATTACATTGATGTGATTGCGCCTTCCAAGGATAGCGCTATATGACGTGTGTGTTAATCCGGGAATGAGTGAGGAAAGTGAACAAAGTTGGCCCACAAAAAGCTCTATATTCCAAGTTTCCAAGCTTAAAGGAATAGTTCACCCAAAAATGAAATTTGCTGAAAATGTCCTCACCCTCGAGCCATCCAAGAGGCAGAAGAGTTACTTTATTCATTGGAACAGATCTGGAGAAATTTAGCCTCACATCACTTGCTCACCAATGGATCCTCTGCAGTGAATGGGTGCCGTCAGAAAGAAAATCCAAACAGCTGATAAAAACATCACAAGTAATCCACAATCCACATGACACCAGTCCATCAATTAATGTCTAACGAAGCGAAAAGCTGTGTGTTTGTAATAAACAAATCCATCAAGACTTTTTGAACTTAAAACCACTGCTTTCTCCAATGAAAAAGTTGTCTCGTTTGAATCAGGAGAGAAATATGCACAGATCAAGCACTGTTTACTAGTGAAAACAATCCAAAACAGTCCTTAACAAATATGTTGGTTGATTTTGATGTGAGAGGACAACAGGGGATGGATTTTCACTGGAGGAAGCATTATGGATTATGGGCTGGTATTTTGGCCAACAATTTCAATTTAAAGGTAAAATCCTTGATGGATTTGTTTCTTACAAACATGCTGCTTTTTACTTCACAAGATGGTAATTGATGGACTGGAGTCATGTTGTGGACTACTGATATTTTTATCAGCAGTTTGGACTCATTCTGACGGCACCCATTCACTGCAGAGGATCTATTGGTGAGCAAGTGATGTAATGCTAAATTTCTCCAAATATGTTCTGATGAAGAAATAAATATATCTACATCTTGGATGAACAATTCCTTTAATTTTCAACTTTTCTGTAGATGAAGGAAAACACATCACCCTACCTGCTGGTTTGGAGGTGACAGGTGAGGCTGGGTGCCGGACAGGGTTGGTCAACCTGGTCCTCCTCCTCCTGAAGAAACTCCGCAAGATGCCACACTTCAAAGACTCCACCAGAGTGCTCTTCCCTGCTCCCGAGTGGCCAAACAGCTTGAGTTTGATGCGAGGTTGGAGGGTCTGTGTAGGCCGCAGCTGCTGGATGTAAATGCTCTTATGGTTGTCCTGTAAGACCAGTTACAAAAGGGCATATACATTAACACATCCCAATGGCATTACAATATGACATATGGACCAACGACATAATGGTAATGTGACTTTGAATGTTCAGTGCATCCTAATGAGTGTAATTTATAGGCTCGTAATAGCTAGTCCTCCAAATGAGCATTTTCCACTGTTTGAAGCAAACAGCAAGACGCTGAATGCCATATATTAAATCATGTATGTGACCGTCAAATTAAAAGACTTTCAAAATCTACAGTCAAGCCTGTGGTTAATAAATAAACCATCTGAACATTTGATCAAATCCGAGTGACTGAAGCATTAAAAAGACCAAGATTCAAAAGAAACTGATGTAGACTAAAGGCCAAATTAAATGTGTCTGAAATATCTTAGCATATGGAAAAACATTTATTTTTAGTCACCTTGAAAATGTTTTCGCCAAAATAAAGGACTACAAAATAAAGGTGATTATAGTGGGATTAATTAGGAGAGGCTGCAAGCTTCAGTTATGATAAATACCACTGCAATGATTGACTTCCATATTATTGTACCATCATATTTACATGCCATTCCAAGGTACTTTAAAGACTACCATAGTATATTTCCAACAAATCATAGTAGGAACATGACACTATACAGTGCAACACTGCCTGTACACTTTTTCAGCGGCCTTGGTTCCAAAAGTATTTTTCCCATTAATTTTTCCATATGGATTTCACAACATTTGACAAACATCTACAGTTGGATTTTGAACCAATGGGGGTTTACCCAGTATCACCAATAGCAGATCAATGGGTAAAAAAAGGTTCTGAAAGCCAAACATTTATTTTCAAACTATCAAATCAGCATACATTTCAGAGGGATGAGAGTCATTGTTGAGTAAAACTGACATCTCTTGCAGGTGTCATATAAAATACAACAAGGATCTCATAAACCTTAAAGCATTCATGTGATGCAAATGAATGTCACTTGAGTCTCAGTGAGATGAATAATAAACAAAGACTCACACCTTTTTCAGCTTGGCCAGCAGCACTGCTACATGCTCCTGCTGCTGTGCAATCGCGAGATCCTCCGCTGTCTTTCCATCCTGCAAGAGACAATGACAGAGATGGATAAACTGCAGCTTTTAGAACATTACAGGCAATGCGGGGCCCATCAGCGTCCAGTGACACAGATGAATGAGTAAAGCTAAATAAATAAAAGTCTGTTAGCCTTTCATCTGCTCACTCTTACCAGACCCCCGCACTAATAAAGCTCTGATATATATATATATATATATATATAGAGAGAGAGAGAGAGAGAGAGTTTGCAGCGTAGGGGTGTAAAAGAGAAAGTGATAAGCTAACAAGGAAAAGTGAGAAAGAAAGAACAGGGTGAATATCACCCAGCATAGGGGTGTAAAAGAGAAAGTGATAAGCTAACAAGGAAAAGTGAGAAAGAAAGAACAGGGTGAATATCACCTAACAGTGTGACTCACAGTACATTACAACAGCGGGTACAATGATGATTATGGCTGAAATGAATGACAGGTGTAATGCTGCCTTCAAGACAATTCAGATGATTGTTTATACGAAATGAGTGCATATAAAAGACACCACAAAAAAAAAAAAAGTAATTATCAGTCTATAAAATAGTAAGTCAGAACAAGTGTGGCGTCCTGGCACACAGTCATTCACTCATTTGCAACAGTTTCATGGGATTGCATGTTTTTTTGCTCCACCTGACTGTGGCCCTTATTGAAAAAGAGTTGTGATATAGTAGGTAATATTTTCCTGAACAGCCAACTTTAACTGTTCACCCACCCCCTCTCACTTCTGCTGCCATCTGTCTGTCCGCCCATGGAAATGTCTCTTCAGCTGCTAGAAGCCCATTTAGCACTATACTGTTCAGGTGAAGTCAATTACACCATAGAATAAAATATGGCCTGTCTCTTAGTACATATCCACTGACCCAAAAACTGCAACTTCACTTGGTGTTTTTTCCAAACATTACAATTTAAACATTTTAAAGTGTCATTTATACCTGTGATGACAAAGCTGAAGTTCAGCAGCCAGTCTTCAGTGTCACTACTATTAGATACATCTGTATGCTTACACCGTCAGTCACTGTCTTGTGACTGTAGCTTTCAGCCAGGGGAAGATGTCGTAAGGTGGCGTCCAACTTTCCTCGGATGTTTCGACCCTAAACCACAACGTCCTCCAGATGGCGGGTCGGCAGTGATGGCCAGTCACTGCCCATCTTCTCCTGGCTTCCAGCTCAACTCCTCCCGCTTACTCCAGAGCCAACAAGAGGCCCTTTCCGCTGCCTCCCCCATCCTGCGGGTAGCTATCTTCCTCTCCCTTCCTGCTATTCCCAGGGCTGTTAACATCTTCCACACAGACTGCGCCGGGAAACCCCTGCAACCAACCTCAACTGGAAATAGCCAAGTCTGCCACCCTTTGTCCCTGCATTGTTGGACTAGGTCCTGGTACTTGGTAGTCTTCCTCTCCGAGGCCTCTTCACAACCGTCTTCCCACAGTACCGTTAGTTCAATCAGGATAATCCTCTTCACCTCCTCAGACCATTTGTACATCATCACAGCCCTGTACTTTGCCACCTTAAACTCTTCAACCACTGATGATAGGGGTAGCTGTAACTGTCCAGACCTAATGTATAGCCCTACTGACGTGAAGCATGGGGAGGAGGGTGGCTTCTCCCCCTCCCTGATGAACTCGATATATGAGGCTGGTCTCACATAGGTCTGGCGCTTTTTCCGTCTCTCTTGCTCCAATATATCGGCCAGTGCACAGAGGACCTTGTCATGGCGCCATCTATATCTCCCCTGGCTAAGTGCAGTCTTGCACACCGCCAGTATGTGCGCCAATGTGCTCCTCCCTCCACATAAACTGCACAGTGAGTCCTCCCTCATTCCCCACCCGTGCAGGTTTGTTGGTGTTGGAAGAGTGTCATACACTGATCGGAGCAGGAAAGAGATGCGAAAGGGCTCTAGTCTCCAAAGCTCAGGACACGTGATTTTTCTCTTTGGCAGGTCCCACTTAGTCCAGGCTCCTTGTGATCCAAGTTCCACAGCCTTTGACTTTCTTCCTCCAGGTGTCAGACCTCAGCTTGGATCATATCTCTCCTCTGCCTTGGGTCTGCTTTCCCCCATTGTTGGAAGTGGTTGGTCCGGAGTCCTTGTCTCCCCATGCATGGGTTCCCGATGATGTCCTTCAACTTCAGCATGCTCTCAGCTTGCGCCACTGATGTGTCAGCTGCCCACTTGCATCCTGATCTTGTGGTGATGCCTGCATCTCTGACCTTTTCATCGCTGGAGTCTCTGTACATCATCACAGCCCTGCACTTTGCCACCTTAAACTCTTCGACCACTGACGAAAGGGGTAGCTGTAACTGTCCAGACCTAATGTATAGCCCTACTGACGTGAAGCTTGGTGGGATTCCGAGCCACCTGTGGAGGTGTTTATTCACTCGCCTCTCGACTCCTTCCACAGATGTCATAGGCACTTCATAAATTGTCAGTAGCCACATGAGTCTTGGTAGCAGACCATGCTGAAACAGCCAGGCCTTGAACTTTCCTGGTAAGCCTGATCTTGCTATCTTTCTCAACCATTCATCTGCCTGCTTCTCTGTCCTGGATACGTTGCTTATGTCAGTGAGAGAGGCTTCGTACCACTTCCCTAGGCATTTTTTGGGTTTTCCTCAATTGAAGGTATAATCTCCCCCGGAAGTTGGAGTTGGAACTTGCTGGTCACTTTCCCATTTCTGATCACCATGCTTCTTGACTTCCTTGGCTTGAACTTCATTCTTGCCCATGTCGCCACATCGTCAAGGCCGGTTACAATTCCCTTTTCGCGGGCTTGCCACTGAGTTGTAAAATGGGCGGTCTAAAACCGTAACTTGAACCCTCCAAAGTAGCTGGTGATCATTCCCCTGATGTGGAGGGGGATATGGTAGTGTTTCATAGCTGCTTTGATGAGGTCGTGGGGGATTGATCCATAAGCGCTGGCCAAGTCAAGCCATACAACTGTTAGATTGCCTTTGCTCACCTTGGCCTCCCGGATCAGCTGGTTGAGGACTCCCATGTGTTCCAAACACCCAGAGATGCCTGGGATGCCACCTTTCTGGATTGATGTATCAACATACTTGTTCTTAACCCTATAGGTAGTCATCCTTTTGGCCAGAACAGAGAAGAAGCCTTCGATGCTCTGAAGAGATATAGTTCGGAACTGACTAATCTCAGAGAAGTCTTTTTCTTTTGGTACAAAACAGCCCTCTGCTCTTTTCCAGGACAATGGGATAATGCCTTTTGTCCAAACTCTACGCAACAGTTTCCACAGACTGCACGAGTAGCATTGGGCATCTCTTATATACTTTATAAGGTATACCACTTGGTCCTGGGGCAGATGCTGATCGGGCTTTCTGTACACTGTCTTGGACTTCCCTCCATGTTGGTTCACTGGTGTCAAGCTCTTCCACAGGAATTTCAGTTCTGCCGACCTTTGGATGTGCGCTTAGAGCCTGGCCCCTGAGAGTATCACTGTGGCTCTCTTTGAGGAACTCCTCCACAACCTCCTTGGGGCTGGTCAGTTTCCCGGATCTAGCTTTGCCCAATAGTTTTTGTGAACCTGTATGGGTTCTTTATGAACTGAGCTCTCTTGGCCTCCTTCTCCTTCCTCAGTGTCAGAGACCTTTCCGCCCTTCTCAGTCTGCACAGTTGCCCTCGAAGTCCACTGGTCAGGTCTCTTATGCCCTCCTTTTCTTCAGTACTTGCTCTTTTGAACTGCTTGTTGAGGGTCTTGATTTCCCTTCTCAGATGTGAGATCTCTCTCTCTCTTCTGTTGGGTCGTTTTCCAGATTTTCCGCTGCTGCCCTTCCTCTCCTCTGTGCCAAAGCGTTCCCTGGCCATATTGTAGACAATTGTTGTCATGCTGTCAATTTTCCTCTTGACTGTGCCTGCTAATGTGGCCTCTAGAACTCTGTCAAGGTCCCGGTCTAGTTGGTCCCATCCTATGTTGTCATTCGATGGGGGCCATTTCACTTTCTCTCTCACAGGTTCAGTGCCTGGGGTGGTGTTAGGAGAATGCCTCCTGTGGCTTTGGGGTGGAACAGCTGCTGAGAGGTCTCCTGTACTGTGGGGTGCTTCCTGACTGGAGTCCTCCTGCATCTCACCAAGTGGCTCCACTGTGCGTTGCATCTGTTTCTCCCCTCTTCCACATTTGGTTCTGGACTGATGTATTTTAAGACCCTTTGCGTTCTTACAATGTCAAATGATCCTTAAGAAATTCTAATATGCTGGTGCTCAAACCATTTCTTATTATCAATGTTTTTGTTTGTTTGTTTTGTGGAAACAAAGTTAGATTTTTTTTTCAAGATTCTTTGATGAATACAAAGTTCTTTTTTTTTTACAACATCAGTTACAGTCTTTACTGTAATTTTTTATCAATTTAATGTGTCCTTTCTGAATAATTAATATTAATTTCTTTCAATAAACAAATAAATAAATAAATAAAAATCCTTACTGGCCACTAACCTTTGAACAGCAGTGTATATATATTATTCAGACCTCAGTATTAGTCATCAAATTAAAAATCCTAATTAATTGGAAGCCTGGAAGGTTTGCTTCCATTATATGGCACTAATGTGTTTAACCCCAGATGTCATTTATATCTAGCAACTCCCCTGGAAAGTGGTACTCATTTAAGCCAGTTAACCAATCTACATTTCCTATCATTTTATGTGGCAGCACTGGTATGATCAAATACATAATGAACGCATCAATTACACAACTAATGCACCTCCTTTGCTGTCTTGTTTCACAATCACTATAAAAGTTTTCTGTCTTTGACTGGAAGTGAAAAAAAAAAGGAATACAAATCTGTGTTCATTTCATTACAACCAAAATGACGCACATAGGAACGTCCCAGGAGGCTGTGACGGCAGCACATGTGTGATTGTGAAATCAGCAATAGGAGACACCAGCTGTGAAGGGGAATAACTATCAGAGAGGGCCAGCTTGAAGGAAGTATATTTCACAGAAAAGCCATATGCAAAAATGCTGTAAAAACATACAAACTCAAAGACAGCATCAGGAAAACCTTGAAACTCTGTACATAAACCTCAGGCAGTCTTGGTTACCCAAAAAAAATCTGTTTACCCAAAACCCACCACAGTCACAGCCCTCGACCAAAACCATTAATGATTTAACACCTCAGAATACACACACACAATCTCACACACAGCAACACAAACCCACACCTAACACCTGGGGCCACAAGCACAAGCAAAACACACAACGTGAAACAGCTGTGTTCCTCCTCAAACCGATGGGGACAAATTAACCAGCCTCCCTCTGAAAGAGAGCCCCCGCACAGCCCCACGCAGACTAGAGCGAAAGAGGATGTGGTGAAAGCAGCAGAGGTGTTAAAGCACCAATAAAAAGGATAGTAATGAGAGAGCTTTGCTGCACTGTAATTACTCTTATCTAACGTGGATTGATTGGACACAAAGCTTTCCTGCCAATTAGACTTTATGAGATATGACTGCAAATTCTTCTGTACAAAGCAGCCCATTTTCTTTTTCACAGACTCTTTTTGTGTCTGCCTGCTCGTCTCCAGCTCATACCACGTGTCCCCATGAGGATGTGCTTGAATTCATTTTATTGATTTCTGGTTGTCTCCCCAAAGATTAAAGATGCCTAAAAATCTCAAGGCTGAATGAAGCGTCCTGACATGAGGGAACCAAATCTAGTGTTTGTTTGACACATTGAGACTACGGCTTGTCATTATCATATTGGAAAGGGAGACGAAAAATATATGATAGCTGTCTGAAAGAGATGGCATAATAGACATAGTAGATTTTTTCTGGGAGTATGAATCATGATGCTTGAGTGTTGTGCATGGGTTTTAGCACGTTGCTACAGTACAGAGTTGCTAAAGTGTTCTGGGTGGTTGCTAGGGTGTTGCTAAGGTGTTCTAGAGAGTGCCAAATGTGATTGGTCACTGGCCCAAGTCAAAAGAGGCCACTCCCAAGTCTCTAATATTTTAGTCCCTAGATATGGCTTTTGTCTCTCAGTCAGTGAAAATTTATGTTATTTTTTTTGCCCATTTTATCATAAAAGAGGTGAAAATCATAAGTTGGATTCCTACATACACTACCATTTAGAAGTCTAGGTTAGTAGGATATATTTTTTTACATAAATTAATACTTTTATTCAGTAAGAATACATTAATTTGATTAAAGGGGACAGTAAAGACATTTATAATTGTACAAAATATTTCTATCACAAAATGCTGTTCTTTTGAACGTTCTATTCATCAAAGAATCTTTAAAAAAATGTCTGACCATTTCCACAAAAATATTAAGCAGCACAACTGTTTTCAACATTGATAATAATAATAAATGTTTTTTGAGCAACAAATCAGCATATAAAATAGAAAATTCAGCCTGGCCATCACAGGAATAAATTACATTTTAAAATATATTAAAAACTTATTTTCAATAATAAAAAAGTTATTTTCAATTTGAATAATATTTCACAATATTGCTGCTTTTACTGTATTTTTGACCAAATAAATGCGGTCTTGGTCAGCATGAGAGACCTATCTAAAAAAAAAGGCAGCATTTTACAATAAGGTCCCATTACTTAACTTTAGTTAATGCATTAGCTAACATTAACATTAACAAACAATAAGCAATACATTTGTTACAGTATTTATTAATCTCTGTAAATGTCTGTTAATAAAATACAGCATTGTTAGTTCATGTTAGCTCATAATAATAATATTTTTCATCGTTAGCTCATGTAGTGTAGTTAACTAATGTGGTGATGTAGTTAAATAAATCTTACCAACCTCAAACATTTAAATGGTGGTTTATAGCCTGACAAAACAGTGAGAAAAAGAGCAAAATATAAAGTGTGAAGGCCACATTAATCAATGGTATCCTATATGTGGAAGCCATTATTTTTTCTTTCTTAAGCCGCCAACCCATATGCCTCTGGCAATGAATTATGGATTCACAAAATTCCCGTGTGCTGTAACATGCATTGTGCATCAGCCACTATACAATATTAACACTGAGGAGGAGAGCTTTGAGATGGTGTTGAGGCAAGGGGTGTGAGCGAGGGGCATGTGGGCCAGCCGAGGGGAGGGATGTGGGGTTTATTGATTGAAAACATACATTGTTTAGGATGAGTTGGGGGTTCATTAGTTGGTTGGGCATGTTGTCCTTCACTGGTGCTGAAAGTGAAACAATGATTCTCCACTGGCACATTTTCATTAATGAGCTTCATTCTGGAAAGAGCCTTTTAATACACTAGGCTGGTAACTTAATGGAGAAGGCACATCCTTATATTACAGACAAAAAAAGTGCACAAATATCAGACAGATATATCCTGACAAACACATTAAAACTCAGAATGAGTCAGATTAGAAATCGGTCATCCAAAGGAGGGACACCCACACAATCATATAACAACACCCAAACCTACAGGAACCAACACACATTCTATGGAAGAGTCAATATATGAGGCGAGGCAATATATGAGGCAAGACACAGCTGACTGAAAGATGAAGGATTAAGGACAGAATGGTAATCTAGGCTGTCGTGAATGATAAATGAACACTTATTTAAAGAGATAAAGAGACTGCAATTTGATTGATGTGCTAAGAGAACAGGACACTGGCTCATTAGTTACATTTCAATATCTAACATAAAAAGACAGCAGCCAAACTAATCAACAAAAAGCTTTTGAGAGCATATCACTATTCTATATGATAATATAGAATCTAATCTAATATCTAATATAAATATGTATATTCTAATATATAAAAATATTTATATAGTGACCTAGCAGCATGTTTTATTTCATTCAAAAGTTTGGGGTCAGTACAATTTTTCGAAAGAAGTTCATGGCTACATAATACAGCAAAATACCCAAAATACAGCAAAAACAGTAATATTGTGAAAAACATTATTTCAGACAGTCTTTAGTGTCAGATAATCCTTCAGAAATCATTCTAATATGCTGATTTGCTGCTCAAGAAACATTTCTTTTAATTATCCATGTTAAAAACAGCTGCTTAATGGTTTTGTGGAAAAATATACTATTTTTTCAGGATTCTTTAATGAATAGAAAGTTCAAAAGAGCAGCACTTATTTGAAATAGAAATCTTTGTAACATTATAAATGTCTTTACAGTCACTTCTGATCAATTTAAAGTATCTTTGCTGAATAAAACTATTGTTTTTTTCCCAAAAAAAATCTCACTGACCCCGTTTTGAATGGTACTGTATATACATGTATATATTTTTTTATAAATACATATATAATACTGTTACAAATCATATGTTATTTATTCACATCAAAACCCTGATGATCTTTCACTTACATTAGTGATGGCTTCAGTGTTGGCTCCTGTAACACAGAGATGACGCACCACCTCCAGACCACCGTTACTAGCTGTCAGGTGAAGAGGTGTTCTCCCAAACTACAGATAAATAAAAAGCAAACATCTATAAACACTCGCCTTCTGAGAATGATTCATCACAAATGGTAACTAGAAAACAAAAGTGAAAAAATGCTTTTGTCAGAAAACTGTTCAAGTGTAACAGTGCAAAATGATGATTCAATTTCATATTAATATAATTCCGTTCCTCTTGACCTGAAAAGCCCTCTGTTAGAAAGGAACACAAATCATCTTCCAGCTGTAATGGAAGTGCCATTCAAAAATTTCACACAGAAGTAACAACCATGTATAACTGGCACGTAAAGATTTCAAGAAAATTGCAACCAAGTAAATGGGGTCAGTTGAGGGGACTTTAAGAAATGAAAAAGGAGTGGATGATGACTCAAGACTGACAAGAAAAAGCGCAATCATTAATACTTGAATAAGGCAAAGGTAAAAACTGGTCTATAGGATAAGATCAGGGTTATTACGGTTAACTAAACACATACTACTATTAATAACATTTTTGTTAATTGGAATAAAATAAAATGTTAGATAAAAAAATTATAAACTAAAATAACAAATGTTGCCTTGGCAACTAACTGAAATCAGTTTAAGTTGAAGCATTAAAATCATTGACTGGAAATAGCTAAAATTAAAACTGAAATATAAATAAACATAAATATAACCTAAAAAGCAATATTTTAAAATACTAATAAAAGCATGACAAAAGCATAATGACACAATTACTACAAATTTAACTAAAATAAAAATGAATCTGATACAAAATATAAAAAAATAAAAAAAAATAATACATAAATAACACTGGATGAAAACACACATTTAGGAGTCAAAAAAAAGCATATTATACAGCAGGTTTACATCCATCCTGGTTTGAAACTCACTTTGTTAGGAATATCCATATTGGCTTTAGCAGCACAGAGCTGCATGACCACAGGCAAGTTGCCGTCCTTGCAGGCGATGTGAAGGGGTGTGTTGCCGTGGCGATCCTGGTGGTCCACATAGCAGTGATGGCTGAGCAGACACTTCACCACTTCAGTTTGACATCTCCTCACTGCCAGATGCAGAGCGATGTGACCGTCCTGAAATATATACATGCAAACACACCATGATAAGGGTAATCAATACTTATTTTGAATGGCAAGCTGTCAATGTTCACAACAAAAATATCTTTAAAAAAAACAACATGCATGAAAGGAGACAGTAGAAAGTGTTTTCATATTTTAAAAAATGACATAAAACACTCAACCACAGCAGTTGTTAATGGTTAATATTTTCTAAGTGTCTGTGCTCACCTTATCAGCAGAGTCCATGTCCGCCCCATGCTCCAGCAGACACTCCACGATGTCCTTGAAGCCGCGGGCGGAAGCGGTGAGTAACGGGCTCTCGCCCTCACGGTTCCGGGCGTTGACATCACAGCCAGCCTCGCACAGGGCTCTGGCCACCGCGGAGTAACCGTGCCAGGCTGCGCAGTGGAGAGGTGTCTCCTGCTCCTGTGGAGGCATGAAAACCAAGCATTCAAACAAACAAGCTTTGGCATTCAGACCAAGAGCTCATGAATAACCTTGAACACATGGAGCTAACAAAACAACATTAGTCTGTGTCAAGGCCGTTTCACGTGACAAATTGTTCTTAATTAGCCTGCGACCCTGACACCTCCAATGAATGTAACAATTATAAACATACAATACGTGGCTGTGTCTGCCTCCTGGCATTACGTGTGAATATTGGTTTTCTTTTAACAGAGCAGGATATAATAATAAATGCAAGAGTAGGATGGTAACCTAATATTGTGATGATGGCAAAAGCAACCACTATAAAATGAATCTGTAATACTATTAAATAATATTTTGGTTGTGTACAATATTTATCGTTGGTCTAATAATTTAACTCACTCACATAATCCTAAAATGATTTTCTTTATTGCATTTCTCTGAAGTGGTGCTTCAGGCTCATTAATTTAAGTTACAGCATGTTTTTAATAGTGACTCCTTCCTGAAATCTATCAACTAGGACTCATTTGCCTGTTAGTCGATGGGACGCCTCAGTAAGCAATATTTCTAAAAGCACAGGAGACTATCTGCTTATGAACGTTACTGCTGTGAGCTCATAGTGCTGAACAAATAAAGTGAGGCACGGACATGATTAGATTTCAGCACTCATGTCACGTCAGCACTTGCGAAACCACTTATTACATTTACATTTCCCACTGTCATCAAAGACAACCGATATGAAGCATTTTCTTTTATAAAAGAACATTTTCTTCTTTCGAGTTGAACTTTACTAATATAAATACACTACCATTCAAAAATTTGAGGTTGGTGAGATTTTTAAATTTTTTTGAAAAACATCTCTTATGCTCACCAAGGCTGCATTTATTTGATCAAAAATACAGTAAATAGTAATAGTGAAATATTATTACAGTTTAACATGTCTCTTTATATCTGTGATAGCAGTCATTACTGCAGTCTTCAGTGTCACATGATCCTTCAGAAATCATTCTAATATGCTGATTTGTTGCTCAAGAAACATTTCTTATTATCAATGTTGAAAACTGTTGTGTTGCTTCATATTTTTACAGTAATGGTGATACATTTTTGATGAATAGAAAGTTTAAAAGAGTAGTACTCTTCAAAGTGTATCACTTTAAATGTCTTTACTGCCACACTTTTAATGTATCCTTGCTAAAATAATCTTATTGTATTTTTGAACTGTAGCGTATATTGAGAACTACTTCAAAATAGTTATGAATCGTGTAATAATGAAGCAATACTTAAAATATACACTCAATTTCTTCATCATTAAAAAAGTACATAAAACAGTACTTTTAAAATCATGTGGACTCACATGACTTCAGTCATATCAGAAGTTATTAAAAGTGGCTTTATTTACATGGCGCAGGTTGCCTCATGGGGGCAGACATCTCATGACTGATGAAAAAACTGAGATCACATGAACAATCCAACACTACTCTGTTTATCTCTGTAACTACCCTTTAAATAACTGTTACTATTCCATTTATACAATGGTAACTGAACTTTTGCTTTTGTGTGATGCTACATCCACAACGCTAAGTGTCATATTCGTCTACAATGGCTTGGACTGTTGAGTGTGGTGTAAATCAGTGTGTGTGTGTGTGTGTGTGTGTGTGTGTATGATACATACCCGGTCCACTAGGTCAGGTTTGGCATGGATGCTGCAAAGGTACTGGACTACATCCACGTTACCATAGCGAGCTGCCACATGCAGAGCCGTTTCTCCAGACTAGAACAGAATGTCAGTGATGAGCAGGCATGTTATTAATGTGATTACACTTTGATGAGCTAAACAAAAAATGCAATGACCATGTGTATGCGAACATCAGGGAAACAATCAACACTGCTGAACTAGACTGTAAGAAACAGTTAAGAACTTCATTAAAGGATTTCCCTGCTGCCAAAGTAGGGTTACAGCAACCGGAAAGGCTGCGTAAACAGAACGTGGCTAGTTGAAGGGAGATATCCTTGTGTGCTGAGAACTGCCAAAACCATTCCCAAATCAGCTTTGCGCTGAACTTGAGCACAGTGCTACTCCTAGAAACAGTTCAGGCTGAGATGGACGTTTTAAGATCTCAATTTACACCCTTAATGAAGCTGCGGACACTCAAAGTGTGATTCTGTATGGCACTCCCAACAAACTCAACAACACTTTACCCTGCAAATTCGCTTGACTGAGCACTCTTCACTGACTAGTGAGGCAGTCAACAAACATTTCATACAACGGCAACCCTCAGGCCAGCGAGTAACCATAGCAACTGCAAATTACCAATGGGAAGTAGAGAGGCGTGTGAAAACAGGAGGAAAGGTTTTCTGGAGAAAAGGTGACGGATGGGAAAAATTTGAAAAATGGAATCTGTCCTCTCCCTGGGGTTGTGATTGTTGAGTGTGTGTGTGTGTGTGTGTGAGTGTGAGTGAGTGAGTGTGTGTTTGTTTGTGTGAGTGTGAGGGTGAGTGTGTGTGAGAGTGTGTGTGTGAGAGTGTGTGTGAGAGTGTGGCTTAATGCTTTTTATATATTATTATTATTACTATTATTTTTTTTCTTTCTGTTAATACATATGTGCATATTTGTAAGCAGTCCAGCTGCAATTGCTTTGGCAATACAAATGTATAATTTTTGTCATGCCAATAAAGCACTCTTAAATTGAAAATTGAATTGAAAAATTGAGAGAGAGAGAGAGCGAGAGAGAGAGAGAGAGGCACCTTATCTTGGATGTCCAGAGGGCACTTCTTTTCATGCAAGAATCTCAAGGTCCCCACATGACCATGTCGGGCGGCATAGTAGATAGCATTGGCTCCAGTCTGAGGAAAATAATGGCATGTTGTGTGGAGTTGTACATATTTTCAGCCATTTTGGTGTCATGTTCATATTTACAATTTAAACTATGTTAAAACTACTGGTAAAGCATGTCTTCAGTCTCTTTGGGGCATTTTATCTGATGTGATCTACTACCGTTCATAAGTTTGGCTTGGTACAATTTTTTTTTTAATGAAATGAATACTTTTATTCATTTAAGGCACATTATATTGAACAAAAGTGAGCAGCACATTAGAATGATGCAGCAACTGCTGCTGAATTCAGCTTTGTAATAACAGGAATACATTACATTTTGAAATATGTATAAAAAATAATTTTTTTTCAATATTACTGTTTTTATTGTATACTGATCAAATAAATGCAGTCGTGGTGACCATATGGCATAAAAAAAATCATACTAACCCCAGACTTTTGAATGGTAGTGTAAATTTTTTTAAATTTCTTGTACATTCATTATCTGAGAAAATGGAGTACAACACCTTATCAAAGGCTTGAATCTCCGCTCCTTTTTTCATTAGCACATCAATGATCTGGACATTTCCACAGCCCGCAGCAATCAGGAGCGGAGGGGTTCCGTGCTGAAGTATGTACACACGCACAAACAAACAAACAGAAACACACACAAACAGGAATCACTTTACTGAATATAACAAGGCACTAATAGCTCCTCGCAGCATTCAAAAGTAGCTTTAATTAAGCCTATAATTTAGAGTCAGTGTGAAAACGCCAATTCAAATTAGACTGATTCATTTTTCATTGTTCGCACAGCAGTTCGAATTGGCGAAGAGCAATCATGGTGGTTGGTAAAAAATTATTGCGGGCACAAGACTGGAATTGTTTCTCAAGAATGGTGATAAACTCCTCTGAATTAATAAATGCATGAGAGTCATTGGAATAGTTCTCACTGTGCATACATAAACACAGATAGCGCTGGACAGCTCTGAGCAATACAATTAAAAGCACACTTGTCTCTTCACATCAGTGAGCAGAGTACAGTTACATGAACCTCGGTCTCATTCCCTCCTTCTAAACAAACACTTTTCCTGTGTCACACACGTGCCATACACACAACATTCCAACACACACACACACACTGAAAAAGACTTAACCAGTATGTTTGTTAACTTAGACAATTTTAGCATAAACCTCAATACAATGTCTTCAGATTTACACTTAAAATATCATAATAATGGCAATTAACCCCCAAGTCTCTTTCATTTTATTCAAAATTCTCATTGTGACGGTGACTCACACAAATGGGTTGAGATATGGTGCAGTAACTGTTTCTCAGTCACTCGGTGCACATCTGAGTGTCACTGCTGAAAACGGCAATGTAAACTCAGAAGGCATGGGCGTACAGTGACACTGATACACTTATCAGCTCAATCGAGCTCAGGTTGGCTACTGATCACTTGGACAGAGACCAAGTCAAGCAGAGACCGTGAGCATGACTGTCAACTATCTCCTCTGTAAGTCGAGCTTTGTCTCTCTCACCTTGTTAGGTTGATTAATATCATAGCTGGTCAGGGATCCAAGCAGGTGTTTCAGACCTGGAACATTGTCATCGTTGATTGCATGGATAATAGCCTTCATGACAAATGAGTCCTCCTCATCCTGTCAAAAAACAAAATTACTGAATATAAACCATACCTTTATGATAACAGACCAAAACACATACTACAAGCATGCATTACACATGTCAATATGATACACTACTACCATTCAAAAGTTTGGGGTCAGTACGATTTTATTTATTTATTTATATCCATTTATTCAGCAAGAATGCATTAAAATACATCTAAAGTGACAGCAAAGACTTTTATATCCTTACAAAAGATTTCTATTTCAAATAAATGCTGTTTTATTCAACGTTCTATTCAAAGAATTCTGACATCAGCTGTATCAACGTTTCAACAAAAATATTAAGCATTTAAACTGTTTTCAACATTGATAATAAGAAAAGTTTATGAAGCTGAAAATAATAAGAAAATGATTATCTGAGGCTGCTGAAAATTCAGATTTGCCATCGATAAATAAAATTGTATTAATTGAAAACAGTTTAAATTTAAATTCTTGAAAACAGTTACAATTTTATTAATTGAAAACCGTTTAAATTGTAGTAATATATAAAAATATTACCATTTTTAATCTATTTTTAATCAAATAAATGCTGCCTTGGTAAGCTTAAGAAACTTATTTCGAAAACACCTTACCGACCCTTAAATTTTGAACGGTTTTCAGATTTTAGTTTTGAAGTCAAATGAATCAATAAATGAATTAAATGATTCATTTTTGTATAGATTTGGGCTTCTTAGTGGACAGGTTTAGTGAAGATTTTTGACATTAATATACTTCCATAGATCAGGACATGTCACAAATAAGAATTAAACCTAAATGTGACCCTGGACCACAAAACCAGTCATAAGGGTCACAGGATCATATATTACCCATGTGTGCTACACAGTTCCAAGATGTCTACTGCACAGCTCTGATTTTTTTATGAATAAAAATAATTGACAAGCTCAACTGTGATAAAAATCAGACGAAAATCTGCCAACATGACGGTATTTAGGCTATTATACAATAAGCTTTAGAAGAAAAACAACAGCAAGCCTCCTTTGACAGTCACACTGAGCAAATCCTTTTACGCTCAGTAGTACTACAGTTGGTCTTATCAGCAAATACACAGCGTGAAGTCCTAATCCTATTGAATAATGCAGACTAGGGGCGGAGCAGAGACAGTGCTTTCTCTTCACCGCTCGACCGCTGCTTTGTGTGCTATGTGACCCAACCACCTCCTAACAGCATCTGACAGTTCTGATGTGAGGGACAAAACACTCAAATAAACGGCTAGAGTGAAGCGGGACTGGCCGTGAGGAACAGAAAGAGAAAAATAGAGTATGTGTGCTTGTGTTTAATGAAGTAGTGTACTGGAATAACACCCACATAGACCCACATACACGTCTCATACTAGACAAGTGTATCCAATGACACAGAATGCACACTTGAAGACACTCTACAAACAGCCAGAGGCTTCTAAAGAGAGTGACGCTATTCTATGTGATTTTGTGTCATTTTCTGTGACCTTTAGGTGATTTGGGTGTAAATTTGTTCTGTCCCTGAAAAAAAAAAAATACAGTGACAGGACCATGGTGCAGTGATGGTATCAGATTATTATACCATGCACTTTACAATATATAATATGGTACTGACAGCCATATTCATTTAAAATGAAATTTAAAATAAATTCCAAAGTATTTTCTCAATTTTAAATAAAAACTGGCACCACACACTTCACTGCCATTCAAAAGTTTGGGGTCAGTAAGATTTTTTAAAATGTTTTTGTAAGACTAATGCAAAGCAGCAATATTGTGAAATATTATTCTCTCTGAATAAAGTGTAATTTATTCCTTTGATTGGCAGAGCTGAATTTTCAACAGCCATTACTCCAGTCTTCAGTGTCACATGATCAAGAAACATTTATTATTATCAATGTTAAAAATGATTCTTTAATGAATACAGTTCTAACAGAACAGCATTTATTTGAAAAATAAATCTTTTGTAACATTATAAAAGTCTTTACTGTCACTTTTGATCAATTTAATGCATTGTTGCTGAATAAAAATATTAATTTCTTCCAAAATTTTTTTTTTTAATGGTAGTGTTTTGATGGATTATTAGAATGATAAAGGATGTCACATCTTGATTATTGTTGCTGACACCATTCCTGTATGAAACAAACCCATTTCCTGTTCTCACAGAAACCCCATATTTTCACATATTTAAGTTCACTAGGTGAAATATTTCTTAAGGTTACAATATTACCATAATGCATGTAATATCTGTTACACATATTAAGGTTATAAGATCAGTTGAAAATGAAGTGCATGAGGTAAAAACATTTACTTCATGGTAATGTGTGATGTGTATGAAGCTGGGGAAGAGAGCGAGAGATAGTAAGCTGTAAAGTTTAGATAACAATTTATGTAGCACAAAGGCAATAACACCACTCTTCAGGCTTATCACACATCACTAAGCAAATATCTGGACAGTATAAAGATCATGCAAAACCCCACATGGCTGTATGAGTGTCAGTGAATGCGCTTATATTAGTCATCTGACTTCACGGCAAGCTTCAATATTAACTTTCACTGCAATTAGCAATCATGCAATAAAACCTGTAGAAACCAATTACAGGCTTCAGATAGGACATAACTGCAAGCATTTAATTATATCCAAGTATATTTTGTGTGGAGTTGATTTGCATGTGTGTATCTGCCTCTATTCTCAGGTGTGTGGGAAGCTGACGGAGCTCATTAGAGCTGCTCATCCCATAAATACAGACCACAGCAGAGCTCAGGGATACGGCGGTTCCTCTGCTGTTGCCAGGCTCATCACATGTCTTCTAGGTGTTTTGTTGTTCTTTTTGCCAGTTCCTGCTGCCTTTTTATGTATTATTATTTCTTTTTTAAATAAAACAAGTGTTTTGGAATAAAAACTGACGGTACCTCTTGTCTCTGCAAATCCATAATACAAGCTTTTTAATAAGGGTAATCTTAAGTTTCTTGAATGATGACTGAACTGTGAACTCTTACCAGTGTGTCATCACTGCGTGCAACACTCATGTTGCTCCTAGACAGGAAGGAGCGGGAGAGCCGGTTACACAGAGAGATGAGACGCACCGATTGCTGAGGAAGACAGACAAAAATAAACAAACAATATTAAAGGAGAGATGATATTTGTGACACCTTCTACAGAATTTGTAACAGGCTTTTTTATCTAAAGCATCACATAGTGATTAAAACACTTTTTGAATAGATTAAATGATATTTAAACTTTTCAAATTACACGCTGACTATTATTTGTTTTTATGACATGAGCTTAATTCTGCGCTTGAGGGCACTGTAACTTTGTGCGTGCTTCTTTATTGTTTCATAGCTGCAAGGGTTTGTTTTGTGTGCTTTTAACAGTGTGTGTGGAAATAGCGTGACTTGGTGTGGCACATAATGCTGATTCCTCAGAAAGCACTACTGATGGTGCAGTACTGCTCATGCTTTATGTCAAATAGTTATATTTTTCCACAGCAGAACATAATGTTTGCTTTCTGAAAGTTGAACTAGCATTTAAACAGAAAGCATAGTCAGAAGTCAAATAAAAAAAAGCACCTTCCACTTTCTTCTGGCAGCAAACTTCTTAAACTTCTCCATATTCACTGCTGATTCCTTACGACTCAGTGCCTGCTGCGTGTCCTTTGGCTTAAAAGAAGACATTCACACATTTAACCAAATGTTAAGATAATAAAATGTGTTTGATAGCCACTTTATATGTATTGGCTGTTGGACAAACCTTGATCCAGGGATGTTGAAGACTGTCCAGGATTGTCATTCTTTTTCTGTAAACAGGAAAACATAATTTTCACTTGTGAAATAAATTTTTTTAGCATACAGTATGCAGGGAAGAAAGGCAGGCAGTTTGTGAACCTCTGTTCATCTCGATCCTTTCCATCATCTAACTTAAAGGGGTCATACGATGCGATTTCAAGTTTTCCTTTCTCTTTGGAGTGTTACAAGCTCTTGGTGCATAAAGAAGATCTGTAAAGTTGCAAAGACTAAAGTCTCAAATCCAAAGAGATATTCTTTATAAAAGTTAAGAGTCAACCACGCCTACCTAAAACGGCTCGTTCTAACACGCCCCCACATACCTAC